ATTGAGCCACCATCTTTATGATATTATAGATAGCCTGAAGGAGTTAGTCCACAATTCGAAGGATTGAAAGCATGAACCGGTCAAGGTGACTGCCAAATGGGCAAGGGATTCTAAGACAGAACTGTTGAGAAAGGAGTTGGTCTACAAGGGGATTGCTTTACATTCAGATTCAGAACCAGAGTGTTCCCCTTTATCCGTCCAACAAGTATTTATTCGGGGCCCACTCTGTTTCTCACGTTATATTAGGGAGTGATAGCAAAGTGACGAACAAGGCAGACAAGGACTCAGGGAGCTCGCTACTCATGTGATTTGCTATCCTTGCTTTATCTCTCATGGCATGCGGCAAAGGTACCACGTCATTCTAGTCCAAGCATTTACTTTGCTAACATAGCTGTACATTAGTTAAAACAAAACCAAACCCTGAAAATGCACTTTTCTGTGTGGCAATAGGACTAAACCAACTATTCCGTACGTGCAAAATGAATTTCATTCTGCTTCCAAAACCGTAGATTTCATCTTCAAATGATGCTTTATACTAAACACATTGACTGTTATTTTAAGAGAGTTGGCCCATGAATTTGAAAGCGGTGGAGTATTTGGTGAGATGTCTCTATGTAGCTGCCTATTTTCACTCTCTGCCTCATTTTTTTCAGACATTTGCTTAAGGACATTATATATATTTAATTTGTCACTATTTTTAAACTAGAGAAATCCAGTGAACTAAGCCCCACCTTTAGCACACAGTGAGCCAGTGAAATGTCTCATGCAGGCTTTCGAACGATCATTAGTTCCCAGCACAAACATTTAAAAGGAAGACTTATTACCTCTATTCAAAATCTGATGTGCTTTTTAAATTCTTTTCTTTTTCATCCAGAACCCTCAAGAAAAACAATATATAACTCTAATGACCAATTCAGAAAGAAAATGAACTGATAGCTCTTTTAGAAGTCTATATTCTTTGTCCACTGGAAAAAATATTAGCTAGGAAATTAACATAAGAAAACCTAATCATGTATCCCTATTCTTCTGGTCTCTAACAGCTTCATCCTTCTTTCCTCTATAGGGTGAACCTGGTGAGGCGGGTATTGATGGATTGAATGGAGAACAGGTAAAGAAAGTTTCATTCACACTAGGTTGGCATTTATATTCTTTATTTGTACTCTTCATGAATAGTCTAGCAATTGTAATGTAAGTATGAAACCATCTCTAAAGGTAATTTACATATGTGCCCTTATCCTAATAATATAGGATTCTAGCAGACACACCCCTTCCGAGAGTACATCTTATTGTCTAGTATTTTGTTTCCATCCTTTAAAATTTGATTCTTGTGTCTGAGGTACAACTATTTGGATTTTGGATTTAGGAAATGACAGTTTATCATACTTGCTTAGTTTCTATTTTCTGAAAAACTCTGAAGATAATTAAATCCCATATTCTTTAAAGATAATTCATTGGGTAAACAATTTCATGTTGATAGTTATTTTCTTTCAACATTTTGGAAATGTAATTTCATGGACTTCTGAATTCTGTTGTCTTCTGGCTTTCATTATTACTGGTAATAAGTCACTTGTCAAAATAATTGTT